TTGCACATCTTGCAGAAGTCTGGGCGGAGTGTGTATGGGGGCGCAGGTCTGGAAACCCATAATGTTACAAGAGTAACATTAGCTTTGAGTTAGCCTGGACTACACAGCAAGATCTCAACCCTAAGGCTTTTCTTCCTACAGGTGGTTATCAAGGACCAGGATATGTTATTCCCCTAAGTGTAAGGACCAGGGATGGGCAAACCAGAAGTCTTGCCCTCGGGCACACAGATGTACAGCCCCAGGTATTCCTTGCTGTAGAGAAACTAATAGTGGAGGGCTGTAGGCAAAGCTCCATCTCAGACTAACCACAATTCAGGAAGAGAGCTCCTTCTATTACAATGACACTGTGAAGAATTCATATTACATGATCTGTATTCAGAATTGTTTCTTTAAGCTAGCATCCGAAAATAGTGTCAGAGGGAATAGACTGTTTAAAAACCATAATATGTATTTCTTACTTGGGTATCTCCAGCAGGACTGGACACAGTGCTGTGTTCTGCCTGGAAGATGAATGAAGGAGACCAGGCCTCCCCTCTGGGCTCTGAGCTGGAGCGAGAGAACCTTGGCCTTAAGAACACTGAAGACGCTCCAAACTCAGTTCCCATAACTTAGCTCCTTCCCCCACCCCCTTTCCTTCCTCTTCTTCCTGCCGGCCCACTAAATTTCATAACTCTTTAGTTTGGCAGAGGACACAGGTGGTACCAAGGAGGAGCTAGGTGCTATTTAATACAATGTGTTACAGCTACAGTATTTGGAGGGGAGATTCAAAAGGGCTCGCACAACCCTGGGAAAGTTGGTTCGGAAAGCACCAGCTCTTCTCACTCAGCCCAGCGTTCCTAGACCTCTGCACACCTGGCACAGGACTGTTGCGAAGATTCCCTTAGAACCGTGCCTGGTGAGTGGACACTGCTATTGAGGACTGGCCCGGTGTTGTTGGAACTCTCTCTCTACTGAGGGTTGCACACAGATGGTCAGAGCAGGTGGGGAAAGAGGAAGAGCGACCAACACTGAGTACACAATTACCCACATACTTTGATTACAACTGTGCTGAGTGATGGGAAAGAAAACCAGGGGTCATGAGCTAGGCCAGCGGGGGATCTGATGCTAATTATCCCTGAGATCAGGGAGGACTTCTTGAAGGAAGCAACTTAAACTGACATCCAAAGGAAGAGTAGACACAAAGCAGACCCAAGGGAGAGCTGCTGGAGCTTCCCAAACAGGGGCCCTGCACATTCAGGAGCCTGTCTGTGAAATCAGATAGTCAACAGAGCCTGTGCCCTCCTCTGTTCCAGCATCCAGGTGGAAATACCTGCAGAGTTCATCTCTCATCCTTAGGTCTCTGTTAGAAGCCATGATTCATTCAGCAGCGTGGAGGCCATCGCTTTCCAGACACCGACTGAGATTCCTATAGCTGTCTAAAGTCCCCTGTGCTCTGAGGCAGACAGGTTCTTCTGGCAATGGGCCTCTCCCAGGGTTGCTGTAGGTGGGTAAACAGTGGTCACAGCTTTTACCCCTCCTTCACTGCCTGGGCAGGTAACCACGTGACCAGCTTTGCTCAGGACAGTCTAAGTTTACCCACATGGCTTGAGCATGGTGCTTCACTTTCAAATGAGTCCTGATTGGGGCAAAACTGTGTATGTGTGTGGCAATTCAAACTTGCAAAGGAATATTCAGGCAGATGTATGGAGTGGTGCCACCAGGCAGACTGGTGTTTATTTCATAAGTCCTAGCTCCCTGTAATTTTTCAGACTCCCAGAAAACTACCTAAGGATCCATTCCTTTTCCAGGGTTATACTAGTTCTCTGAGGACACTCTTGTTTTCATTATGACACACCTCCATCCAACACAGGGGCAGTATTCAGACATACCCCTTGGCAGTAGGGTGGGTTGGAGAAGAGACCAGGATCTTGGGTACCCTAGGCAAGCAATAACCCTTGTTCTTCCAACCTGCTTCATTGAACCCAGGCAAGTCCCTCGCTGCCAAGGCTTGACATCCCTTTGCCCAGAGAAGCTAATAACCATGTGCCCCCTTCCCTGTGTCACGAGAGTGAGGTGCTCTGTGCACAGAGAAAGAGGTAGTCCTGAATGCATGGGATAGGACCGCAGGCTACATGTAGCTGGGAGCAGCCACAGTGATGTGCATAGCAAAATAATCAGGTTAATATAAAACATTTTCTATATACTAGGACAGTTCCCTCAAAGGCTGTGCTGTGAGCAGGACTCACACCTTCCTGCTGCCCGGATGGGAACACTGACCGCAAAGACCAGAATTAAGCAAGGATGGAGGAAAAGCCATGTGTGTGATAGACCTGAGCCGGCTGAGACCACGGCAGCCGGTGTCTGGGACTCAGAAGCCTGGTTGTCTCTAACAATTTTTCCTGTTTTTTTTTTTTTTTCTTTTGGAAGCTGGAGATCCCATGCCAAGCTCTCCGAGCAGCCCCGACTTTCCATGCAATAAAGCAGCAGTGAGAAAGGCTTAGAGTAATTAAGTGGCTGACGCACAGAAGAAGCCGTTACAAAGAATTGACTAAATTGCCCATTCATTAGCAGCTCGGCATGGAAGGAGAATTACAAATAGACGGCGGAGCCCGCAGTAATTCAATCTAACCTTGTACTTACAGAAAACAATGAGATAATGAACAGAAAAATTACCAGGCACATATTGTATTTTGTTAAAGGGGCGGGTGGGGGCGGGGGAGGTGGGGGAGCGCAGGGACAGCCTGGCACATGCAATGCTAATGGCCTCGCTCAAGCTGAGCAAACGCTCCTCCAACACAATCATAGTTCTCAGTCTAAGGGCCTCTGGGGAGCTGAGATGAGGCAAGATCGCGAACAAAAAAATGTAATTTATAAGGCGTCTGCGGACTGGAATTTATCATCGGATCCGCTCGCCGCCGCTCAATTGATATGTAGTTGGTTTCAAACAACACCCCCCGGGCGCCCAGAGGGAACATTTTTTAGATTTTACGCTTGGATATATCTGTTTAACTCGCCATTTACCAAAACAACGGCTGATGACAGCACAAACCAGTCACTCTGGAGAAAACCGGCGCTCTCTCTCTCTCTCTCTCTCTCTCTCTCTCTCTCTCTCTCACACACACACACACACACACACACACACACACACGGTACCCAGCCATCACCACTGCAGCTCACAGACCTGTTCAGGCCAGGAGGCTCTGGGAAGGAAGAATGCAGGGGCAAACAGCCAGAGGAGCGAGCCTATGAGGCGTCACAGAGAGAACAATATGCTCCAAGCTGGGTTTTATAGCTCATGCCTAGGTTTACATGCCCTCTCTGAGCAGCTTGGAATGGCCTGGTGCCATGGCCACTCTCAGTCTCTGGGATCAGACCCCACCTCACTTGGCAGCTATAAGAGCATGGGCTTCACTAGGTAGGGAATAGTTGGGGGCTTCCATTAAGTAAAGGAAAGGTCAAAGGCAAAATTCATATTGTCCCTTCCCAGGTTGCAGGGTCTGCAGACTTGGGAGTTAGCAAAAGGCTGCTTTTTGGGGTATGGGATGAGTAAATCCCTTGTCAGCTCAAGCATTGAGAACTCACATGGTAAGCTCACAAGTCATTCCATTTCAAGAATATTTTCAAGACCTGTCATCAAACACATCTCTGTTTTTAAAGAAAAAGTAATCCCCTGGACACTGGTAAGTGGCAAGACAGGTTTTATTCCAGATGTCTGCAGCAGCAGGAGGCTCGATCCAGGCCTGCAGGCAATGGAGTTCGGTAGAAGCCTGCAGCCAGGGCAAGGAGGTTATGAAGAGAGCTTGGTTAGTTGTGTGGGGAAGCAAGGGAAGGAACTTGACCAGACAGCAAAGGTGGGAATTGTATCCATAAGCTGGCTTAGCCTGATTCTGTGCTACAATTGGGCTCTGTAGGCCAAGGCCACCAGTCAGGAGAAAAGATTCAGAGCAGCTAATGAAAGTGTGGTCCAGAGAAGCCATGGGGTAAGGGCTAGGTCTACTGGGGTCATGCCTGAATCTTTGAGAAAGTCGCCAACTCAGGGCTTAGTGATGAGGAAAGAACAGATTGGGCAGGTCCTACTGAAGCAGCCAGGGACAGTGAAAACCTATTCCAATACCTTCCACTAAGCAAACAAATGCCTGAAGCTCTGTCCCCAGGAGATGCTTCTGACACCTAACCACTGGCCTGAGCTCCTGTCAGGACAGGGGGGCTAATGGCCATGAGTGACTGGCCAGTAGGGGGCACTTTAGCCCAATGGGAAGAATAGGGAGGAGGAAGTCCAGAGAGCCTGATTGCACTCATCAGCTGACTGTAGTACTTCAAGACATCATCACTTTCTGCTTCTAGGCCCAATTTGTTTATGGAACACCCATCACGCTGCCTACCCTACTCCCTTTGTACAGAGATGCCATGAGACAGCCTAGACGTAACTGAACTACAAAAAAAATTCACATAAATTCTGAAAACATTAAAAAAAAATCTGCTCACTGGTTCTCAGACACAGCATCAGCACCAGAAAGAGCAGCGTCTAGGGACTTAGATACCATAATTCTCAGGCACATTCTGAACCCGCTGAATCCCAAACTCAGAATGGAAACCATCAAGCTATTTAGCAAGCATACCCGATTCTGATACCTGCAAGTGTGAGAGCATGTATCCCAGAATATACAGACTTGGTAGCAGCAGAGGGCAAAGGGCAGGCAGCTCAGAAAAAGAGTCTGAAACAGTCCGATGTTTTCTAGTCAACCAAAAACCTGCAATTAAACCAGCAATTAAACGTGGCTGTTAATCAAATCTATCGGTGTTTGTGGGGTGCTGCATAGTTCTCCAAGCTCTTTCCAAATACCCACTTCTGTTTGCCTCTTTAATCTTACCTTGTGACATAGGAAGGATGAATACCATTGTTCTAGAAGCACAATAATTCAACGTTAGCCACTCAGGGACAGTCTAACAGCAAGGCAAAGGCGGAGGAACTCCAGCTCTGCAGTCATACATTTTAGACCTTCTGCTGGCTGTATCTTCATTATAGGAACCTTGAGTATTCTTCCCCTCTCTTTCTCATACTCCCATTTGGGACCACCATCTCATTCTCTGTGTGGTCCCTTATTCATGTGGAACACTAAAGAGCTGGGGAAGTAAGCAGCCTTTGCCCTGTACATCAAGAAGACTCCAAACCCCGTATTGTAGCAAACGCTAATGATACTATTTTTTTTAACTTCATTTTGGAGATGAGAAAGCCAAGGACCACGCATCTGTCAAAGACATAATATGGTTACAGAGCTAATTGCAGCTAGGACCAACACCAGAAACTCCTGGAAAGCATGCTGGGGATGAACAATGTCTGAGATTGAATCACAGTCTTCGAGCATCCAGAGACTTTGAATATTGACACAATCTCTAGATATATGTGCTCACATATCCTTGTTCTGTGCTTCAAGGAGACCCAGGACGACCTCTTCAATGGACCAATCTGCCACAGAATATTTCCTTGACTATTCTGGAGGAGTAGGCCATCTTCCTGAGCACCTGCTGGGAGGCAAATTACAGTGCTCATCGTTTGAGATATATGTTGAGAGAGGTTTTCTGTCCTACCAGGTCCCACAGCCATTCAGTCCCAAACAAATACACAGAGGTCTACGTTAATCATAAACGGATTGGCCTAGTAGTTCAGACTTCTTTTTTTAAACTTTTTCTTACATCTTATATTAGCCCATTATTCTTGTCTGTGTTAGTCACATGGCTTGGTACCTTTATCAGCGAGGCAGTCACATCTTGCTTGTTTTGTGTCTAGTTTCATCTGTGTCTGGATGACTACTGCAGACTGAAACTTCTCTCTTCCCAGAATTCTCATTGCCCTGCCTCTGCTTCCTGCCTGGTCGCCCCACCTATTCTTCCTGCCTGGCTACTGGCCAATCAGTGTTTATTTAAAATACAAATGACAAGGTATAGACCATTGGTCCACAGCAGATATACTGAAAGGGCTGTGTGGGAATCCTATGTCATCCCCTCAGCCCTCATTCCCATTCTGATGGGATTCCTTCTCTGGAAGTTCAATGGAGGTGCCAACTTAGGTCATTACTGTCAACATTTTGAGGATGCACTGACCCTGAGAGAAGCCAACATAAATTGTCACTGGCCTAATACCTGCTCATGTTTCAAGAGGGAATTCAGGAGACTTTAGGGTGGACTAAGTTAAAGGAATATGGAAAAATTACTGACTGAGGTGAGTGGAGCCTTCTAGTGACTCTCAGCTCAGGACTTGCTTGCCTATCTGTGGGGGACTCATTTCGTTTTCCTAACGCTGGCAAGAAACATGATTTCAGGAACCTACAAGATCAATAATAGGATTCTAAGAAGTCACCTAGGAAGGCACCAGGGTCTGTCCTTAGCAAATGCACTATTTTTCTTAATCCTTTATTGATATTAAAGACCCTTTGCAGCTGCCATCTTGGGAACACATACAGACTATACTGTGGGCTGAAATTAGTTTGGGCCATCTATGAATGCCTATACCTAGAACATCCAGTCTATGGACAGCTCCAGTCAGCCCAGGCCTGACTTGGAAGAGAGTCCACCCAGAAGTAACAACAAACGTTTTTAACACAAGAATTGGTGAGTTACCCTTCATAAGGTGGTCAAGATAACTTCTTATCAGAAGATAAATGTCTCTCTCTGACTTAAGGCATCTTCCTTGAACTTCTTCCATTTCTTCAGCTGGCCACGCTAAGCTTCAGAGATCTGAAGATTGGAGGAGAAGAGCTTGGTGCCCTCTCGCCTGTGTGAACTGTGTGAACCAGCCGCAGGCTCTGTTGGGATGGCCAGAGTGATGTCACAGAAGGGCATCCTGGGACGAAGATAAACGTCAGACAGCCTGATATAATCATCTCCAGAGTGAGGTGGCCTGGGGGCAGAATTCTGATCACAGAGCAATGCCTTGTGGGCCAGCCATTCCTGGCACAGTGGTCCCCACAAATGAGTTTTCCCAAGGACTGATATTATTTAATATATTTTTAATTGAAATAGAATTATATCGCTTTCCCTATGCCTTTCCTCCCTTAAGCCCCTACCAAATCCCCTCCCACAAATCCTTCCCAAGAGACTGATGTTTCAACTCTGATAATTTTAAATAATCACGGACAAAAATCCTATAAAATTTTATATATTTTCTGGTCATGCCAATGTCATTTGCCAAAACAATTTAACAATATCTGTAATTACCATCAATGTGATCAAGCATTAATACAATGGGCCAGGGGAGGGGGCAAGAATGACACACAGGTCTTTAAGGGTGTACACCCTGCCTTGGTGGTGCTCAGCATTGTTGACTCTGAATAGAGCAGTGCTATTTTTTTTAAACTTCTTGGTCACACCTGTTGATTTTTGATGGCATCTGAGAAAGTGCAGTGACATGTAAAAGGTTGAAATTGGAATGAATACTTTCAGGGTGAGAACTGTGGGCCCAGACAACAGCATTTCTTGCCCACTGTGCTTACTCAGTAGCTAACACAGTTCCTGGGACACAGTGAGAGTTCAGTAATGAGTTGATAAATAAATGAATAAAATGACTTTGTACCTGGTGCTGTCTCTACCATTTACTCTCTGTCTCACTTTGGCCAAGCTTTGAGTCATGGTTTCAAACTCTGCAAAATGGGCATAAGAACACGTTATATTGTTATTTTCAGAACTCTTGCAAAGAACTCTGATTAAGTCAATCCAAGTAAAACAATGTTTCAGAAGTGCCTTGGGTGCTAGAGCGGTATCCAGGGCAAGTGACTTTCATTTTAAACAAGATTTTGACAATTATCTGTATGTACAGTTTCTGTGAATGGCTTGTTCCTTTCCTTGTAGGTCTGGTACCTCTGACCTTGGCCTGTTACTACAATTGGATAAAAAAACCAAGGTAACAGGTCAGTAGGTCCCCTGGGTACAATGTGTGTTGTCTGAAAACCAAGGTAACAGGTCAGTAGGTCCCCTGGGTACAATGTGTGTTGTCTGAAAACCAAGGTAACAGGACAGTAGGTCCCCTGGGTAGTATGTGTTGTGTGATCCAGCAGCTGACTCATGTCCTAGGATTTCCCCTAACCCCAAGCAGCATCTTCACTTGTCCTTCTCCCTGTCCTCAGCCCCTGCCCCAACCTGTTCTCCCCGGGCATGAGGAATATCACATAACCATAGGTAGTCTATGCCTAGAATTCCTTATTGGGATGACTAAGCCAGAAGAGTCCTTCACTCTAACAAGAGGGGATGTGGGCTCTGGTTAAGGCCAGAATGTCTGCGGGAGGCTTCATGGTGTCATCAGTCCTCCTAGAGAATCTTCAGACTGGGAAGTCTGTGTTTCAGAGGAAATGCTTAGCCACACAATGAAAATGGAGGCTAACAGTAGAACTTCCAGTAAGAATTAGCTGACAGATGGCATCGAGGTCATTGGTAGGGCCAGGCTCAGGAAGGAGGGGGTCTCACTATCTTCTCCAAACCCCTGTTTGTGAAGAGCCCTTAATAGCACCACACAGGGCCACATCCTAAGGACCCAGCCTGACTCGTCCTCCTGGGTTCTAAGGCAAGCTCAGATACCCTTTTCCAGTTCATGCAGCTTCTATGCTCACCCATGAGAAGCCAGGTGCAAAGTCCAATGCTGACAGTTGGGGAGACTTAAAAACAGATACTGTCTGGTTGGTGCTGATTGGTGCTTTCTCCCAGAGGATTTACGTAATTGCTGAAACCTGTACCAATATCCACACCAGAATCAAAACCATTACCACTGCTGCCAACATCACCATAACTGTCACCACCATTATCACCATAATTACCATCACTACCATAGCTACTACCACCATCACTACAACCACCACCACTGTAACTACTACCACCATCATCCTCACCATAAATGCCTTCACCACCATCATAATCACCATAACCATCATCACAACTACCCACCCACCATCATCCTCACCATAATGATAACTGTTATGACCATAATCACCGCCACCATAGCTATCACTGTCATCACTATAACTACCATAACTGTGATCATAACTACAGCAAACACTACCGAACTATTACCACCACTACCATAACTATCATCCTCACCAACATCATGAAACTACACCACTACCACCATACTAGCATCAATATAGCCACATCATCAAAATAATTACCACTACTACCACAACTTTTACCACACCATCACCTCCAAACTACCATTACTATTGCCTTCACAAGGGCCACCAAAAACACAATCATCATTACCAACACAATACTACCACTAAAATTACTGATACTACCATCATCACAAATATTACAATACCAAACACCATAAATAGCAAAAAACAATCACCACCACCATCACCTCCATCATCACCACCATATCTGTCACCACAACCACCACCTTCGCAAAGACCAGCACTATGATCACCACCACTACCAATACCAATATCCATACTATCACTAAACCATCACTACCGAATAGCCATCACACCATCCATCAACAATGTAGTCACTACCACCAGGTCAGGCGGGGCTGGAGTTGGGACTAAGGACTACTTGTTTGCAGATCTGGGATCTGGGATGTTTTAACATTTCAGATTTAGGGTCATAATAGAAACGACTCATGTTGTGAGGATCAGAAGCCATAGAACCAACATTTGGTAGCATAAGACAATCACCATAAACATGTAGCTACTAAATTAAGCACCAATAGTCAGACGTTTCCAGGTATGGAGGGACAGTCTGTCTTCAGAGTCATTGGGCATCTTGCCCTCTGGAGAGAAGACTGCCAGCTAAGTGACCTTGCAGGGGCCTTGCCTTTCTAGTCTGTGTGGACCCTTCTTTCTTCTCCAAGTTCCGGGGAAGGATGCCATTAGGGAAGTGGGCGATTTGCTGGAAGGTCTCTCTTCTTCTTGCCTTACTTGTTGGAGCAAACACACACAACGTGACAGCTAGATCTCCACTGCCAGATTCCCAGAGCCCAGGGCATGCTGAACAGAGAGAAGCCAAGTTAGAACCTCATCCAGCCCCTCCAACTCGTGCTCTGCTTGGAAATGTGTTGCTTGACATTGTCCTGGAATGACCAGGGCCAGCCTAGTGCTCTCACTGGGGACATCCTGCCCCTACCCTCCAGGCTCACTCACATTCCCCCTTCCCCATACATACATGCACTGCTGTGCCCACTGTGTCCCTGGTGTTTTCCCTATCTCCATGCCCCCTCTCACTCTGAGGCACGCCTAATGGTACCTCTGTCCTTTTGCCCACTCTTTGTCCTTTGGGAGGGCACAGTTTTTGGCAGACAGTCGATTGTGACCCGCCAAAGGCATCACTCTGCAGGCGTGCCAAACACATCTCCTCTCCCTCCCGGCATGCGAGGCTCCTTTGACGAGGAAGGGTAAAGACCCTCCAGGGTGCTCAGGGACACCAATATGTTGTGTATTTAATGTGCTGGCTCTGTTACAGCAAATTAAAGTGAGGGAGCCTGGTGAAAGGAACGCAGCCCGCTGCTCCTGTCCCTGGGTGCACGGGAGGCTGTGGAAACGGCCCTCCAGTGGGGAGGACAACTGCGCATTACCCCCCCCTGCAGGAGCAGAGGCGGCATTAGACGAGCCCCAATTCTTAATGGGACGCATCCGGCAAACATCTGAGCTTGGGCCTTCAATCACAAACGCTGCAGGATTTAAAAATGAATAAACTTCACATTGTCTTTCTCTTATTTATCCTTTATGCAAATTGTCCCTGGGAGGACCCATTACTCTCACTGCATGGGGACAGCGGAGGCCGGCTCCGAGGCTTGGAGGACCACTTGCAAGCAGTTCCTAGAACGCCAGGCCCATCCTGGCGCTTTGCAAAGGGGGAGGAAGAGGTTGTAAATGGGAAATAAACAGACGGAGTGCGGGCTCCTGCAGAACGCAGAGGCATGTGTGTGCACAGCCATAGGCCCCACACGCAGGAGCCACACACAGAGGCTACATTCAGAGCCGTGAAGGGGCCTTGACTCCAGGACGACTGTGAGGAGAGATGGTGGCATGTCCATCACCCCAATGGTTTCCTCCACCGCCAATGGGGAAAGGCGGAATTTGTGAGACTGAGGGAAGGCAAATGGCAGCGGGGGACGTACACAAGTCGATGTTTCCAACATCAATGGTTACAGACTTGTCAGCTATGAACAGTGGCTGGGTTAGTGATGTTCAAGCTCCTCTGGGGCGCGCTGGTTTCCCAGAAGCCCCAGGGTTCAGGGAAGAATTCCAGAGAAGTGAATCTAGCAGCCAAGGTCATGAGTCCGGATGAGGGAGTCACCCCAAGAGTCAGGCCAGGACATCAGCACAAACCAAACACTAGAAAACCAAGCCCAGCACATAGCAAAACATAAAGAGCTGGAAGCCCATTCCGCACACCATACCCCTCAATGGGGCCCTCATCTGCTCGCTCACCTCCAGCAAGAGGACAACGAGACTAGAAAAGGCCATAGCCTGTGCCTGGCCCCCGAGTGCACCTGCAGACACTGGGTTTCAGGCCTCTGCCGCATTTTCTTTGCCCTGCCTTGAGGCTGGTCAACTAGGCAGATGCCAGGTGAGCTCCAGGCTAGGAGGGCCACCCTGGGAAACATGATGCAAATCAGAGGGCTCATGGCATGGTTCCTCAAACATACATGCACCAGCAAAGGGAAGCTGGTCCCCCACTGTCCCGAGATCACATGAGAGCCCTTCCTACATATCCTGTGGCCCACACCTTGCAGACTATTCGTATTCTGACTCAATCTTCTTCCCTGTAGATCCTGCAGTGGGTAATTTTCTTTTTACTGAGCATAGAACATGAATGGTAGAAATCCTCTGCTCCTCCTCGATTTCAAGCCTGCACCCACCTCAACTACTGCTTCCCTCTCCCTGCTGGGCAGGGGAGCCTCTGCGTTTTCAGGCTCAGAAATGGAAACGACCTGGGGTACCATCCTCCATTTCTCCTGCTCCCAAGATTTCTCCCAAAGCTGCTACCACCTCCAGACAGGCCCGGGTCTCGCATCCATCACTGCCAGCCTCACCTGGGCAGCACCTCCTAGCAGGTGGGGCCTGGATTTGGAGCCCCCTTCAGGCAGAGGTACCTAATCCAGATGTGACTTTGACCACCTATTCATTCCAGAGCCAGCCCGACTCCCTGATTATTCCCATCCGGACCCTGCCTCTGCCTGATCCTTGGGGGTCTCTGTAGTCCCCTCTCACAGATGACTTACCCTGGACCTAAAAGTAACCCCTCATTTAGTAAATTATGAAATACTTTCTTTCCACCCAAAGCATTCACTGAGTCAGCCCTCTGCCTGTCTGCAGGGGAGCTCAGATGGAGGGTTTGCAGGATGGCCTCAAGGATGGCAGCGTTGAAGTGGCCTCCGCCGCAAAGTCATTCATTAAGACCCCATGTGAGTCGGGAATGATGGTTCACACTGCAATCCCAGTACTCAGGAATATGAGGATTGTCCTGAGTTCAAGGTCATCCCGTACACAAGGAATATTTCAGGGCAGGTTGGGCTGTGTGAGAGAATTGACCTCAAAGTCCAAACAAACCAACAAAAAGATATTCTGTGATTTTCAATTTCACAAGATAGAGGGCGGTGAGAAAGACAGACATGCCTCCCATGCAAGTATGTCCTGAGATGGTGTCTTTTAT